TTAACTTTAAATAAGAAACTAAAAGCACAATATTAATATCGGGAGATATTACAGTCTCGTTACGAGATTATTTTGTCAGAATTTGTAATCGTTAGATTCAGGGGCGGATCTATGTTCAAGCTAGGGGGGGCATTGTCCCCTCCAAAAACTTTAATTTTTACTATTATATATACATATATATATGATAAATATATTATTTTTCACATAAAGTCATACATTTATATTAAAATAATAATTGTATTACACTTTCTACTAATAATTCAACTACAAATTATACTCTTTTTACACTTTTGTATAATATTTTTTCCAATTTAAATAAATTGAATGTATGGAAAATATGTGAAAACATAAAAGTTGGTAATTTCTTGAAAAAGAAGGTCATCTAAAATATGCTTAATGGAAAGAAAAAATATCAAAACTATTAGTATTGCGTCAATCATTAATGAAATACATGAGTTGAGAGACCGTTCAATCTAAATTTTTTATTGTCAATGTTTGAAACTTTATAATTCATATTGCACTATTATTATATATAATTTTATAATACAACTTTCTATGTTTTATGTGCATTAAATTCAAATCTATAATTATTAAAAAATATATATATAGCCCCCCTCAAAATAAATTTTTGGATCCACCCCTGGTTAGATCAACTATTCCCGACGGTTACATGATGATCTAACAGTTACAAACTCTGATGGAACGGTTCCGTAACGTGACCGTAGCATTCTCATTAGCATATTTTAGATTAAATAGTGAATACAAATCCATCCATAATTGTGAGATTAATTTGAGATAAGCTGTCGAAAGTGTGATGACACCTCATTATAATTATCCACAAGTCAAGCACTACAAATACTAAAATATTTATGCTTTTAACAAAATATTATTACATGCACACATTATTATGCACATTACAATATTATTACTTCCCTAATATTATGCTTGAAAAAAAAATAAAATAAAAATTACGCCTAGCCTAGGTAAGATAATAACTATCTAGAATAAGATAAACACCAATGATTCGTCTTACGATAGACAATTTTGTCACATTATTGGTGTATGGGCCCATAACATAATATGACAAAAAAATAAAAAATAAAAAATAAAAAGCTTCGAATCGAAAAAAAGGAAATTGGTTGGTTTGAGAACTTTAACAAAAATTGTCATGCTTAATGATAATAATTGAACGTTTTAGACCTACATATAGTTTATTGTTTAAATAATGCTAGCCTAAGCTATCTATAGAGATTAAACAATATGAGTTATTTTGATTTGGCTTGTTAAGATTCAAGTTTGGTTGTACTCAGTTTAATCGAGCTCTAGTTTATTAAGTTAACGAGCTGAGCTCAAAAAGGATTTTTTTTTTTTTCGTAATCCTTCTATAACTTTAATTTTAGATCGATTCATTAATATTGATAAACAAGCTCGGGTTGGCTGACTGTAATTGGCTACTTACGAATCACCTCTTGTGCAAATTTATTTAAAATAACTTTTAAGTAAGCTTGGGTATTAATTGGGTAAAAAAAATATTTAGAAAGGTGAGGGTGTGTTTGTTTATTAAAAAACACAATATATACTCAAATTTTAACACAACTTTAACCTAACATCATCGTCATTAACATAAGAAAATAATATCAATCGATTATTTAACACATTACATCAACTTTAATTTACTACTCATCAATAAACATAATTTTAACTAATTATCGCTTACACATCATTTCTATCATACTTTTACATTAGATCAACTTGAATCACTTTATTTTAAATATTATTTTTATATAAATAAAATTATACTATTAACTAACTATTTTTTTTTTCAAAATTTTAATTATTTTATATTAAATATTATTTAATATAAAATAAAAATTCTACTAACAATTAATCATTTTTTTTTTAAATTTATCATCGTTACACAATATTTTTTTTGGAGTGAATATATTTGTACTCTAAAAGTTGCTTATATACTATACAAATTATAATTCACTATATGATAGAGTAGGACTTGCGTGATTAACACGACTCCCCCACACAACTGTTCCAACTTCCACGTGTTTTATATGTGGCCCACGTTATCTTACTCAAGTCCTTTACATTGAACTAGTACGAATCTCGTGCGATGCACGAATAAGAGATATTCATTAATATTTATAAATGAAAAATGCTCATTAAATGATATTTATAAGTTAAAATATAGAACAAATATGTAATAAAATTTACCTATATTAATTTATTTAAAATATATATTAAATTTAAATAGTGGAAAATTACATAAAGCATGCCTATTTAAAATTAGTACACAACTCGTACGATGCACATAACTGATAAAAAAATTACATTATATTCATTTAAAAATAATCATTTAAAATTTTTATTTAGAAATTCAATTTTAATACAATGTGGTTCAATAAAATAATTACTTTTATAAAATTTTATCACATATATAAAAAGCTATATGAATAATAAGTATAATATTAAAATTTATATTGTTTTATTGTTTAAAATAAATTTATTTTTATATAAATTGTCCAAATTAAAAAATAAAGGAGTTGAGTAATTTATTAAATTGTTAATAATTGTCTACTCTATTTACGTCCAACTTAATATTGACCAGGAAGTTATGAATAATTAATTATTTGCGAATTTCGAATCCAATTTTGGACTAAATACTAAATCCCATTATATATTTTATATATATATATATATATCTATATTTTACTAATATCGAAATTTCATAAATTTGTTGTCCGTTACCTTGTCATTCAAATTTTTTAACTAATTCTCTATAATTAAATTATAAATTATAAATTTTATTAACAAATATTTGCTCAAATATATTTTTAATTGTCAAGGGGAATACATACCACTTTGCCCAGTTATCATCAATATTTTATGGCATGTTATTATGGGAATATGCTAAAATTTTAGAATCATTTCACCTTGATTTTATAACAAATCAACCAATTTGCGAATTTCGAATCCAATTT